CTTACATTTTTTTTAAAAACATGACCTAATTGATAAATTAAGAGATAGTTGTAAAATTTCACCCAAATATCAAATTAAATGGATGAAAATTTGAAATTAAACTACATTTAAATCTATATATACTAATAGAAAAAAGTTCTAAGGGTTTACATTAAATAGGTAAGACAATCCCGCCTAAAAATTTAATTTTTACTAATTCTGAAATTTTAAATTAATTTTAATTCAAACTTTTAAATATCATATGAAAATAAGTATAGATTTTTTTATTTCTTTCTTATAATACGTTTTGGTGACAATTTATGTTCCACGTGTAGATTTTATTTCCTTCCACCAACTCCGACTAATTAAAACACGACACGTGGCATTTTTTTAATTATTTTTTTTGTCTAGAAAAAAAGTACATCATTAGTTTGATTAATATATTTTGTTACCAAAAATTATGCTTTTGTAGAAATTATTTTTCCATTCTAAATTTACTGCAATTGGAAAAAAAGAACTTATTATTCTATCCTATCCGAACGAATATTTGAATGAAAATTATATTACGTTGACGTGGGATTCAATTTTTCAACATAATATTTTTAATTTTCAACAATAGTAAAAATATCTTTATTTATAATAGATATCTTATTTTTTTAAATCCAACCATATATTCATTCTAAGATAGGATTTTAGAATTACAGTAACAATTTGCCATTCCAAATCAAAATTAGTTAATATAAATTAGTTGCAACTTACAACAAATCAACTAATAATAATAGGTATCATAATATATGTTCTTACATTATCATTTTATTTAATACAATAATATATTTTTTGCTTAGATGACGAGGTCTACAATCCCTTATATATAGAAAAAATTTATTTTCTTGTAAATATAAAATATTATATTTGAATATATGATCTTAAACAAATCTCATAAGCACTTACCCATTTTTTTTTTTTTTAATGGTTTTACCAAATATCATCCTAAAAATCATAATGTTATCATTATTCCTTATATCTAGACAACCAACCATATATGCACGATATTGTTATAATTTATTTTACCAGATTCTATACTTTAATTACAAAAATATTTTTAATTTGAATTTTAAATAATTGGCGCCACTTTTCAAAAATATTTTAAAAAGTTACTAATATAAGTAAAAATAAATTTTTTAGGCGGGAAAATAGTTAGTTTTTCAGGTAAATGTCAAACATTTTTATATTTATATAGATTAATTCCACGAAGCCCAAATTCTCAAAAAATCGTGGGCACAAGTCAAGTGAGTTAACAATCAATGTTGGGCCTAAACTTGGGCTTATATGAGGCAATTTTCATTTGATGCTATGACCCCCATAAAAATACTCTGAAAAAATAAAGAAGTAACCAAAACTAGTGAGTCCATTCAAATAATATATAAGATAAAAAAATAAACGTGTTAATAATTAAACAAATAAAAATACACAATCAGACATATAAAATACGCACATTTTCGACTTATCCAATAGTTTTAATATATAAAAGTTCATTAAAGAATAAATGATCCAACAAAACCAACATAATATATACTTATAAAGTACTCAAATACATTCAACTATTTATTCACATATCTACAATTTTAACAAAGCGACAAATCTTGGTTAAAAAGGACAACATAGTTGATGAGTAACTTGTATATAATAAATAATTTAAAAACTTAACTTCAATTAAGTTAAGATACCTAGAATTTTACAAAAATCATAAACACGTGAAATATTACATTATCTAACAAACTAGAAAAGTGGAACAATTCATTTAACTACTTTACTATTTAAGAAAAACAAACTCTTGTACTTAATTATGATTAGAAATTGCATCTTAGTCTTATTGGATTGAATTTTTATCGCAAAAAAAAAAAAA